AGGGAAACGCGCTCAGGTGAAAATAGTTCTTTGGCTTAATGAATGCTAACAGGTGTTCACAGCACTTTTTAATTAAGTCAAAGAAGGGAAAGTTCTGGTTATGGAGCTCCCGGCATCTGGAAGCTGGATAGAATGGAGTTGTGATCCAGAGCTTTCTTGGTTCCCTGAAATCCCCTCACTGGGTAAATGTCTTTGTGGTCCCCCTGACACTGTGCCTGTCCCTGCCCAGGCCCTTAGAGTCAGAGGGCAAGTTCCGTGCACTCTCCAGAGCCAGGCCTACACAAAGGTTTGTGTTTTAGGCAAGGAAAATGACAGTGGCCTTCTACGTTCAAGTAGGAAAGCATGAAGAAAATGTATTTTAGCCCTGGGCGGTGTGGCTCAGTGATTGGAGTGTCGGCCGGATGCACTGAAGGGTCGTGGGATCGATTCCCGGCCGGGGGCATGTACCTGGGTTGCAGGTTCAATCCTGGCCCTTACGGGGCTCCTGTGGGAGGGGACCAGTTGATGTGTCTCTGTCACATCGATGTTTCTCTCTCTCTCCCCCCCTCCCTTCACTCTCTTCGACTCTTTGTAGAAATCAATGAGAAAAATGTCTGAGTGTGAGGATTGACAACAAAATAAATAAGAGTAAAGGGAAAATTTGCTTTCATCGTATTCTGGAAAAAGTCCAGCCAAAGCTGTGTTCAAACCGATGGCTGTAACCTTGATAAATTATTGACCCTCTCTCATTTTTGGTTTCGTAACCAAATACAATGGGGTTGATAATATCTACCCCTGGGTGGTCGCGCATTTTGAGGAAGATGGAAGTAGGTTTACAGTTGGGAGTATAAGAAACAGAGTTTATTCTTGTACTGTTATTATTTTTTAATTGTATTATTTTCCATACAAGCAACTGCAAACCTACTTTTGCTCCACCCTGTGTTTGCAAAAGACTAAAATACGTTTCTCTGTTGGAAGATTGGCCTAGACATTGTTGGTTAGCTTTCCTCCAATGTCATTTACCCTCTATCCTTGAAAAGATGAAAAAAAAAAAAAAGGTTTTGTTGTTGGATCTATAGCTGCCACAGGCAAAGAAATGAAAACAATGATTGAGGACTTTTTGTGGGGGGGGGAGCAAAGGCACAGAACCTTTGGAGTATTTGCTGGGCTTCCTGAGCTGAGGAGCTAAACCTGTGCCTGAGAAGATGCTAGTTATCCAGAAAGAGACTTCGAGGTTTGATTTTGGAGGTTTTGTTAAATAAAAAACAAAAACAAAAAAAAACTGCTGAAAAGAAAGTTGATACCCGATGGGTAATACCTACCTATAATTTCCAATTAGAGGCCATTTCTGTGCCCTGTCCCAGCTGAAACGTACATGTCCTAGGAAGGGTGGAGGGGTTAGACTGTAGGATGCACGGGGCAAGGTGTGGCATCCTCATACTCTTCTCCCCGGGGCTCAGCAGAATTACTTTGGGAATTAATGACTGCATAGATGGACAGGCCGCAGAGAATCAACCCATCAGACAGTTCGTGGAAGCAGATTTGGATAGTGCGGGAGCATAAAGCCAGAGGTGCCCCAGGAGGCAGGATAAACCCACTCACTGCACACATCGCCCAGAGCGGACTTCACTTTAGTTTACCCTGGATTTCTCTTAGAGCACTGAGGGCGGGAACGAGTTTTGTAATCTAAAATGTCAGGGAACAAAGTCAGAAGATGCCCTATGCAGAAGAAAGCATATTCAATGAGTTTCTGACTCATTAGTCTCCGAACTCTGATTTTCTTTTGCTTCAGGAAGAAATACCCGCCTTTATTTCTCTGTGTGTGTCTGTCCGGCTTTCCATCAAAGAGATTGTAGCCCACTGCGTGGCCTAAGCGCGGGTAGGTGTGGGTGTCTGATCCTGGCAAGCTAAGTGGCCAAGTAGGAAACTCGGGGGGTTCCCCTGGACCCCTCTGCCTGTCAGTGAGGAGATGCAGGAACACCCGTGCATGCAGTGAGCGTGGCCACTAGGGGTCCCCACCAGCAGGCGATGGGAGCTGGGAGCTGGGTAGCTGAGGCGGCCTCCCTTTGTCTGCACCCCAGGTGTGGGCTCCTTTTGTTCAGAGGCAGGGCTGCTCCTTGCAGCGGCTGAGCTGGGTGCTCGGTAACCCCACCCAGGGCCACCTGCCCACCTCTTCTAGGGAAACAGAGTCTCTCTTAGCTCCTGCCTCTAGTTACGGCTGCCCTTACCCCAAAGAGCCAATGTTTTCTCTTTAACAGGACTAGGCATCTTTGTATTTAGAAACACGGCTTTAACTACAAAGGGAAATATTTCTCACTCCAACAAAGAGTATATCGATGTTGAGAAATTGATGGCCAAAGGACCAATTTTCAGGGGAGAGTGGAGTATTTGCCATGAAATATTTAAAGCTAGTTGACAAATAGCCCCACTAGTCTCCTGCGAATGCCAGCCACTGGATTAATCTTGAAAGCAAGGAGTACTTCATTCTGTGCTTAGCACAGAGGAAGGAATGACCTTCACCAACACCCCAGAGTGCCAGAGATGTGGGAGCCCAGCTCCAACCACCACAGCTGCATACCCTGCGGTGTTTCCATGTCTGCCTGTAAACTTCAAAGGAACAGCAAAGCAAAAATAAACAAATTACAGTAGCTACAGAAGAGCTACTCTGTAAACAACGAAGTACAGGAGTTGTAACAGCCGGTGATGGGGGCGCGGGGTGCAAACAGTTACTGCATCAGGTTTTTCTTCTTACGTTGTCACCGTTTCAGTTGTTGTTGCTGTTCACAGCAGTGGAGTGTCGTGGCCCACGCATCAGCTTCTTTGTGCTCCGGATATGTTGTTCATCCTCTGTTGCTTAGTGGTCACAGCTACTGATGTGACATGTCATTGGCGTCCTAGAGAACCATGTATGGAGGCATTTGTTCTTTGATTTACTCATTTATTCAACCAATATCGACAGAGCACCTACTGTGTGCAAACCATGGTAGAGAACACAAAGGCTGGCCAGACATGGATCCTGGCCCCCCTGGAAGCTTTTCATGGAGTAGGGAGATAAAGGATGTTCCCAAATTTCCAGCAGAACAAGACAGAGCGTCTGCCGATGGGGAGGTATGGGGAAAGGACTGGAGGAATTCAACAGGAGAGCTGGCTTGGGGACCAGGGGGGATGCTCCAGGAAGGTGTCTTTCACCTGAACCTTCGCAATGTGGAAGGTGCCCAGCAGAGAGGATGCTGGAAAGGCTGGTGCTTCAGTGAGAAGGGCTGTATGTGGGAAGGAGGGAACAGGGAATATGTTTGGAAAGGGAAGGTGGGAAGACTTTAAATGCTAAGTTGGCATGAGAGCTCAGGCAAGGTGTAATTTTTTAATCCTAAATAGACCAAATTATCAACACAAACTTCTTTCATCCACAAGTTTTTTAATATGTGAAGAAAGAAGAAATAAATGTCTTTTAAAGTCTTTTTCAAACAGACCTAAGATCTTTGTAGCACCAATATGCCCTTTCCCATTGGCAAAAAAAAAAAAAAAGGCCTTACCTAGAGTTAAGGCCATATATGAATGAATAAAATATACGGGCTAACTTTTTTTTTTATTGTTTCCTTTGGAGACATGCTTTGGGAGGTCCGCAGACAGGTCCCTGAGCCTACTGAGGAGGGGCTTAGCATCTCCTTTCAGCTACCTTCTGCTCACTTACTGATAGTAAACATTTGCAAGGAGCGGCAAGAGCTTTAGGCCTCTGAATCTAAGGAAAATGGGAGTAAGCAGTCACGCCTGCTGAGTTTTCTCCATAGGTTACGGCTTTAACATTCCAAATGATCAGCGTTCGGATTTTAGTTCTGAACCTGGAGCTTTTCAGGTGTCCTTCAAAATAGTGAACTTCAGAGCTATCATCCACCTCCTACCCACAGGCTAAGCCTCCCCGGCCACCCCATTTCTATTCAGCAAGTATGTTTGCTGACTTCACAGCCTTCTCCCGGCCTTTGGACCCAGTGGAAAAGCGTCAGTCTGTCCTATTCTGCACCTGTACATCACAGGGGCCTTGGCGGGGCCTTCCCAGCAAGCGCCCCTCTGTGAATTTAGCTGTCAATTTGGGGTAATAAAAATAATCCACTTCACAGGACCATGCTGTACTTCCTCTAACTAACAACTATACAGCTCTCTGAAGGTGACTACTGTCATTCAAACTGCAGAGATAGAATCTGACATCCCTTTGTGAGACTTCTGAGATGAGTCATAAACCTGTTGCTCAATTTGGGCCAAGAAAGGTATTGACATTGGGCAGAAGATTAGACATTTCCCCCCGCCGTAGAAAAAGTCACTGCTGATTAGTTATCTCCAGATACAATGGAGAAAGCAAAAGTTGTTCAAATTATGGATTCAGTCTTTTAAGCGAACAACTGACAATCACTTATGGAGCCTGAACTTAATGTCAGTTGCACTGTGGCTTTATCATCTTCAACTCAATCTTCACAACACCCTGTGTAAGAGGACTTTGGTTGCAGGTGGAGAAACGAAGGCTCAGGGAGTGTAAGTAATTTGCTCAAGGTCACACAGCTAATAAGTGGCAGAACCAGAGTTTGGAGACAGATGTTGTCTTCTACAAAACCCAGATGGTGACAACTAGGTGACAGCCAAGTTAGACAGTTGCCCACCTAAAGAGCTGGAGGGACACATAGGTTTCTTGTCCTACAAGTAGGTGTTGCCTGTGACCAGAAGCACTCTGGGAAAACAGGCAGTTCCATTCTGATAGAGGTCAAGGTTGTGGTGGGCCACATGTCCCTGAAGGGCCACATGGCTCCAGCTTAGGCTGCATCCAGGCTGCGTGGTACAAAAGGAAGAAAAATGGGGGGGGGGGGGG